AAATGATTTAAAACAAAAATGTATTAAATTGTTACATCTTATTATATTCAGTTAGATTAATTTGTTTTTAAGTTCAAAATTTATTGACTATGTGCTTTTCATTGTTTTTTATAATAAAATTGTTTACCATTAATTTTAAGTTATTTCTTTGAACGTGATTGTTTACTTAAATTAAAGTGAATATTCAATGTAGTGTAAACAAATTGAAAAAAAAAATTCAATTTATAAAATAAGCTTTATAGTGAAGATGTAAATTTAAGTGCAAAATAATAGAAATCATTAAATAAACTTTTTTTAAAACTAATTTAAAATCAATGCCAGTCGATAATTATTTTAATATGTTTTAATATTTTTAGATAAAGCTTAGAAAAGAAAACAAGGTCCGATTTAAAGGGAATACAGCAGTTTGAACGCGGTTCGTGCAACTGCTAAAACATTATAGCTGATCACAATGTAAACTTTAGTGATGATCAATAAATCATTTTCAACATTTCTTTGAAAAAAAAAATGAGATCAGCCCGTAGGAGTGTTTTATTGTAAAATAAAAAAAATCATTATCTTAAAAATAGACGATCTATTTTTATTGGTACAAGTAGTCAGTAATTATCTGAAATCTTAATACTCGAATAAAAAATGTACGAAATCTTTAATGTCCTTGTAGTTGATCACTCTACCCAACAAGAGATCCTTACTCATAGTTATAGTTTTTATAGCAATTACAACTTTCAATTTGTATGTATTTACTTCACAAAAAAACCTTCTTTAATTGAAATTATGTCCACATTTTAAAGTTGACATGTAATTACAATAGTTCGTATGAATATGTTAAAACTTTCGTGAATTGTCATATTGATTGAAATTTTTACGGATAAATCCACGTTTTCAGTAATGAGCTGACGTTTCGTTGCAGAGCCCATTTTCAGAGCGATAGTTACAGGCCAGTGGTTGTTCAATTCCAATTTATTTATTTTTGAATTCTAATAATTTTAGGTGTATTATTTCGTGAAATTTATTGTGAATATTTTAAAATATTTTCAAAAACTATAACACGTTGAAAAAAGTTGAACTTGTTAATTATTGATTTGTTTATTTCAAATATTCGGTTTGAGTAAATGGGAAAGAGCCAAACAGTCTCAGTCGGAGATTTCCCAGGAAATATGTTGTTCGAATCAAAACTTATTATTTTAAGTATGGCAAACAATAATATATGGTCCGGTAGCAAGATAAATATATTTTAGACACGGGATATTAACTGTTGTTATTATTATTTGCCTTCTAAAGAATCAAGTTGTTTTTGGATTCTTTTTTGATTAAGGATATATGTTTTTTTTTTTAAGTTAAGCTTTACTCACGTATGTGTTTTTCTTTTTTGTGGAAAATTAAAGAAACGATAAATACGGTTCAGAAAAAGTGTGTAAACATCAGACAATGTTTTGTAGCAACAATTCACTTTCCTATCACGATTCTATTGGCGCTATGTAAACAATTCTGACCAGGGAAATGCAGCGCTCTGAGCAGAGATGGATGAATTTCATCTCTGGGCTAATTGAACTTACAATTAAACTCATAACTCTTAATTGAGCTTTTTCTGTGTGTTTGCATTTTAATAAACACCAAGTAATTAATAATAATTATTACTTTGTGATTTCTAATCAGTGCAGCAAACAAATGAAATTTGGCGGAGCATATTTATTAAATAATGAAATCCATTGACAAAACTTGACGGAACCGCTAATTTAAGTAAAAGTCTGCAATCTTTGCGATTTTACTCGATGAAATTATTTCTTACGCTAATGGACTTTATTTCAAAAAAGTTGTTCGATATAACTTAAGAAAAGAATGTTGTGGATGATGAGTGCTCATGATTTGTATAAATTGTTTACTTTTTGTGTTTTGTTTCTACTATGAAGTGATGGCATTATAACTTATTCTCATTAAAAATACATAAAAAACGCATTACATTCATTTTGAATATACAGAAATTAAGATTGATAAAATAAATTCAATTGTTTATTTCCCGTTTTATAAATACAAGAGTTTAATCATAGCAAGACTTACAGCTTTCTTTGTGTCGGAGAACGATATTATTATTGATTGCAACTACATTTTGAATTTGTTAAGACATAACATAAATGCAAAACGATGTCTTTGCGTAAATAAACTTACAAATCATACCGAGCGACATTCGAGCCGTGTCGATAGTAAAAAAAGTATCGACGACTATAAAATTGTGTGGTTTGTTTGGATTCTGTGCAAGTGAAATTGCGCATATTAGTGGAATTACTTATGTTTTACACCCGTCTCAAGGTAAGTTTATCATCATTACGGCACATGTGTGCACATTTAAATTTGGAAAAATATAGCAGACAATTAATATTATCACGAATGTTGGTCGTGCCTTAAATATTATTCGATTTATTTGACTTGAAACCACCGAGTAATTGGTCGTACGGAATTATGTCACTGAAATATTTGCAAAGATACCTAATTTCTGCATAGAATAATTACCGACTATAATTATCAATTAAACAGTATTTTAAATAATGATAGCCGTCATAATACTTATGAGGCACCGTAAATTTTGTTACGAGCGAAGCAAACATTGTGTTAAATATTCATTCATTGCCGTTTGAATAATAAATACCAATCTAACTACGGAAATGTCTGTATCTTTTTTTAAAATACTGTAAATTAAGTTATTTCAGTGTGTTCGCACATTGTCGGTTTTCTGCGCTGTTTTATCTATGTTTCGTAAAAAAAAAAAAAATAACATTTAGTATCATAAAAAATAAATGAATTCTATGAGGGAAATTCTGTCGCGAGAACAAGACGTCGGCCTTAGACGCGTTATGAGTACGATCATCTCGACCAAGTAATATCATATATGTATTCGTAAAACGCAAGTACGTGACATAAATTTCTAATTTAATTTTGAAAGTAATGTTATTGAAATAATGTAAGTACTCCGAGGTAACGTGCTAATATTGTACTTCAGGTGATACGATAAAAATGACATATACTCACACACACATGCGGGAGGGGGGAGGGGGTTCGTGGCAACATACGACACAGGTAAAACGCAGTCGGCGGAGGAGGCTGCCACTGGAAATTATCGATTGGTCGCGTTCATTGCTGCGGTGCGTCGTAAATCGGATACCGACACGGCAAATGCTCTCAGCGTTTATATCGGCGGCGGCGGCGGCACCTCTTGTTCTTGTCCTTTCACGGCACTACACTCGTGTTTGGTAACACTTCAAAGTTTCCCGTACAAGTTTCTTAATTAGTCGTAACTAACCACCTCACCCCGTCATCGGTACACGGCTACCTATTATTGTATGGCGCCTATCGTTGCGTACGGTCCTCCCGACATCTCTCTACCTGTGCCGGTGGTTCGCTAAAAAATTAATTACAATGCTCTTGTCGTCGCTCCAGTTGATTATTCACACACTCCACTCGCACGTCGTATGGCGTTCACGGGACCATGTTATTGTTACGATAAATCACACGATTTTCCGTGCAATACGAAGTATACCTTCATTGGTTTTTTTTTTTTTATAAGTAATGAATAGGATCGTCTCGAAGTAAGGGTGTTCTTAAGGTACGAGAGGTATACGAATAGATATAACCACAGCGTGGGAGGCGAAAATTTAGCGAAATTATAAGCGTTGTTATAATATAAAAATAAATTTTTTTTTATTGACACATTAAAGAAGACTAAAATCAACTAATTAAGATTCGATTTTTGATTGGGTTTAAGGCGTTCATCGTGTCGCGTAATTTTCTCTAAAATCATATGACTTTTATCATTTTTCTCGGGTCATCCTGAAAATAGTTGATGACGATAAAAATATTACTGTCGTAGTTAATGTAGTGTTAAAAGCTGAAGAATGTATTAATTATCATTTTAAAACTTTAGGATTCCTAAGGTTTTTCCTTATGGATTCACGATTACGTTAAAATGTGTACTTTATATATTATATATGTCAAATACAAATTTTAAAAATGTCAGATTACAATCTCGTATTTGTCATTGTTCAATATTAGCGTAGTACTTTTAGTCAATGACAAATGATAAATCATTGCGGAGTTTTGTGAAAACTGACATTATTTTTTGTGGTTTAGGTATCACGACTTCAAAAAAAAAAAAAAGTCGGAATTATTTGATTTGTATTGAATATTGTAATAATAATCATAATATATTACTTTAGTTTTAGTTTTCAAATTTACACATTTGTCATAATAACATATTTAATACTCCCTTGAAAATAAAATAGTTACAATAGATATTATAAACGTGACATGACAAAATTTTAATAATTACTTTTGTCTGTAATTTTCTAAGAAATTCCTTAATGAAACAATGGAGTTCGTTTTCGTGATTTTAACAAAAACGGAAAAACTCTATTCATTACAGATGAGGAAATCGTCATTGCCCTGTGTACTGCCATGGTATTTAATCACTAGCAGCGTCTTGTCATCGGCGGACGTTAAAAGACAAATTGTATACAAGGCATTCCTCCTTTTCTTACACTCTTCTCATTGCCACGGTTCAACACTTTTCATATATAAGGAAAGGGTAAGTAGACATTAGGAAGGAAAAAGGACGTACGAAGAGGAAGAGAGGTTTGAGCTGTCCATTAATTTTAGTCGTTCTATAGTCTTCGTTGTCGTTACAGTGAATACAGTTTGCTTAAAGTTAGGAAAAACCATTTTCTTAAACCTTGGTTATCGCTTGTTTTCTTTTGAGTACTTAGCAAAAGGGTCAGTGTTCAAAAGGCTAGTAGCATACTAGGAACAATTTTGATAGCAATAATATTTTTAACAATATCTCGTCCAGTTTCAGTACATAAAAGTATTTTTGACCTGTCTACTTGACCTTTAATTTTCCCTGATATTTTTTCAAAGTTCTAATGTTAATTGAATAATTTGTAGTACTGTTCATCTATATATAAACACAAACACACAAAAAAAAAAAGTAGGGAATGTTTTTTAAAATGTATTTTTTATTAAAACTGAAACAACAACGATCATAATTATTTTAACTTAATCATAACACAAATGGATAAAAGGTAACATTCATTTATACACTTATTTAATTATAAAAACAGGATTTCTCTAGTATTCTTTACAAAACTTATTTACAACTTCATCTAAAATTAACAAGGAACAATAAAAGTTTACAACACTTAATATGTCCACAGGACATAAAATTTTCATTGACATTATACACCTAATAAGTCAATAATTGGAAACAAAGAGATTATTCGTTAGGAGGAAACTGCCAGATAATGTTCTAACTTGAACAACTTAGTCAACAATTTTAATAGTTGAAATCATAATTACAACATTTGGCATTAAAGTATATTTGTTTTGACCCAGTCATTATTGAAGATTTTTAAGTTTAAAAAGAGAACTTTTGAACTATTTATATATACGTATCATTCCTCCCTAACACAAACATCACAACGAATATCTATAAATCATTACAAACAAAAATCATTTAAGAGTTAATCGATAGACTAAACACAGCTCTCAGGTATATTACTGCTAGACATCATTAACTTTTCTTTTATGGCAGCTCCATTCAGTTCCGATGTGATGCGATGACCCTGCAAAATAAAAATGTAAAAATCATGTTTCTTGAAATATTATCAATTACGTATTACTTACTATACGTTCTTTCCGTAGTGTATTTTGTGACGAACCTGATATCCAACCAAGTGAGGAATCATTGATATTTAAACAGCCACCATTAGTGATATTCAAAACATCTGATGGATCTATTAAAAATTACAAATTTTTATTATAAAAATTATAAAATATTTGAACACGACAATTAATGTCATAGTTGGTCTTTAAACGCCATAAAAAAATTATTTTAATTTCGATGAGTTGCATAAAAATACATTTACTTTACGATTATGGATTTTTATTTTGAGTTCGCTATCACAAAACTTTGGTAATACAAAAGCACAAGAACATTTTTTTTCAATAAAAATGATTATCACGAAGAAATTTTGTATGATGATTTTTGAGTTAATTACAAAAAAAAAATCTTAGTACTGTTGGAAACAAGCAAAGTAGAGGATTTTATACAGTAGACCCAACATTATAGATTAAAATTTCACAGTGATTAACATTATTAGCATAAAACAATTCGATGTAATGTTTACAATGAATGACTAAAAAAATTGAAACATTTTTAACGAAAATTTTATAAATTTTGACCTTGGCCACCTATTATTAAATTTTGTTTTTTAAAAATTAAGTTTAAAGATCGCAGACGTTTCGGAACATTATCAAAATTTGAATAAAAAAAATCATGATCGGTTTATCATAAAACTTGATTACTTTCAAAATAAATACAATATTCCAAAAAAAATTTTACTTTTTTTTTAGTTAGGTATATTTCTTGATTAATCAGCTAATTATTACTTTCTAAAATCATTTCTTATAACTTTGGATTTACAAAAAAAAAAAATATTCCGTCAGTAAGACTAATGTCTAAAATATTGTCAATAAAAATTTCGTAATTATCAGTTTAGTTTGCAGAAAATATTTCAATATAGAGTAAAAACTAAAAATAGCAATACTCGACTTTTTGTTATCAATTGCAAATTTGTTGATTATATACCGTTATTAAGGGGATCCAGTGAAATTCCTCCAAATTATAGAACCGATAACTTCAATTTGTGATCTTTTCAGACGTATCATTGAGCGAAATCAGTCAAGTAGGAGCACTCCTCTCTTTCTATTTTGTGTCTATCCAAATGAATACTCTTTGCATACGGATAGACACAAAAATACTATTATACTTTTACATATAAAAGCAAAATATATGCTTTTAAAAAATTGTACGCCTAAATCCAAGAAGTTTAAAGCTGGCTAAATTTAAGAATTGTCAAATTATTTTTTTATGAATAATCTATCTCTATTAAAATAAATAAAATTTTTTTAGATACAAAAAAATAAATTTTAATTATAATTAATTACATAACTATCAATAGATTACGCCTCTCTTATAGCATATACATTTTTAACATCAATTATTTAAAAAAAATTTATATTCTCTTTCTCTATAATTTAGAAAAGTACTGGAATGTATCTATTTGGCATTCAATGACCATGGAATTACGATTTATTCTGAGACTCTTTTTTTATTACTTGTACACTTTGTGATTGACCTATCTCATTGTTGTTTTTTTATTGGGTTCCGTTTTTTTGTCAATCTTATGTTTCCGTATTTTTTATGCATATTTTATTAGATAGACAATATATTATAATTTTGGTTATGAAACCATAATTTTTTTCCCAATTTCTACTTAATATATTTTTTTAAGTAATTTTTAAATTAAAACTTTTGAAAATAAACAAAAAATAATTTTCTTTTTTGCATTTTATGATTTTAACGAGAACATCTTTATAATGAACAAATATCAAATAAAATAATATTTATTTTATTTACAAATTAAATAAACTAGTTTAAAAAAGTCATTACCATATTTCACTTGAATCAAATCTGGATCCGAGTCGGGTTCCAAAAGAGTAGTGGCAACTTGTCCATTGTTTCTATGATGAACAACTACTTGTTTATCTCCGGATAATCGCCTCGATGAACGTTTCCTGCTGTCTGAACTTTTTATTTTAACAATTATTACAATAGTTAGTATTATGATCATCACTATAATGCTAGCAGTCGTTATCATAATCGGCGAAACTTTCAACACCGGAACGCCAAAACCTGAAACAAGATGAAATTTTTTTTATGTTTTGTTATCTAAAATTAACAAAAAAACATGTATACATAAGAATCATGAATTTTTCTGAGGCAATTACTATTCTTTTCTTTCTTCTTCTTCCTTGCCTTAATCCCAACTACTTGGGGTCGGCCACACTTATCCTAAAACTTCCACTTGACACGATCTCCCACATCTTCTACGCTCACATCAGCTGTCCTCATATCGCATTAAATAGCATCCCTCCATCTATTTTTCGGTCTTCCTCTACCTCTTCTTCCTTCAACATTCATTTCTACTAACTGTTCTTACAGCTTCCGATTCTTCTCTCCTCATAACATGACTAGACCATTTAAGTCTTTTTATCTAAGTTTTATCTTTTCTATCTAAGTCTTTTTTAACCCCTTTCTGCATAAGGTCCTATAAATGGTACAAATTAGTTTTTCTCATATATCTCGTTCAATATTTATTCGTTTACGTTATTTCATGCATGGCTGAATTCGTCACAAAAAACCAAACAAATTTGATATAAGACTCTGTTATCTACCCGTAAATGTGTGTACTGTAATTTAATAAAAATCGAATAAAATATTTGATACGGCATTATTAACTTTCGCGCATTTTTAGAGTTTGATAACATGATTTTTGTAACACTGATTATCAAACAAAAAAATACTAGTCGGTTGGATTTTTTTGCAGATTTCAAATAATGTAAGTACATCTTTGTAGCTTAAATATTTTTTTAAATAATTAACTACGCGTAATAACAGTTCAGATAATCTGTGCCATATTTGGTACAACATGCACAAAAAGTATTGTTTTAAAATTTTTTTTTTGCAGAACAAAAACATGATGTTATGTAGAACAGTTTTACATACAGTACAAATACCTGAAGGAAGCTGTAGCTCGGCATCAGATGATGAAGACTTATATCAACCAAAAAATATATTAGTATATGATTCTGACAGTGAGGTAAGTGAAATAAATGACAATATACTCGTAATACACGATTCTGATGAAGAACCCGATGATTATGATGACATTCCACTAGATGTTAGATTGAAAAATGTTAGAAATGATCCAGTTTTGTCTAATATACAAGCAAATAAAAAAACTAAACCTATTTGGACCGTAAATCATCTTAAAAGACCTGAAGACCAGATTAAATTTTTAGGAGATATAAATTTACCTACTAACATTAAAAATATGATATCACCATACGAGTTTTTTACTATATTATTTCCTAAATCACTTATTTCATTTATTGTTGAACAATCTAATATATATGCTAGTCAAGTACGTCCAAATAAACCAGCCAATATCAGTATAAAGGAAATGGAGCAGTTCATTGGTTTATGTCTTAAAATGTCTATTGTACATGTGATGTTTATTTTTATATTTTGTTTTGCCTAATTAAATATTAATTGTTATTACTTGGGCTACTAAGAGATTTTAACTGTTAATTAATTGTTTATTTTTATAAATATAAGAAACTAAATCAATTTTGTAATCAAAGACTGTTTACCAACAAGAAAAGTGATATACGAAGTAATAAATATAGTTTATTATAATAATGCGAGTATTATTTCATAACTGCGTATGTCCCATAAATGGAACATTATAGCGATGCATACTCTAATGCATAAGATTCAAATATGGCACATAAATAGTTTTGGTGCACATTGTTCCATTTATGGCACACATTACACTTTAGGGATTTTAGGGTCAAAAATGGTCAAAAAATTTTTTTTTAAATTTTCCATGTCACTACTATTAATTCATATAAAAAAGGGTTAAGGCAATTACTGTTACGTATTTATTTTTAAACATCATTTTTTTAATCATTTTATTCAATGATGTTGGTGACTAATTGAAAAATGCTAGTGAAACACCTAGATACCTTCTCAAAACACCTAGACATTTGATCGCCTACAATGGTCTTCATACATTTTTTATTCTAGATTTTGTTATTTATTACAAAATACCAGTTTATAATATTAAACTCGATATTTTTCCTAGTAAAAAAGTTTGAAATTTGAAAATTGATTTTTGTCAAAAGATAAAAATATCCAATGATGTACCCAGAAAAATATAAATATTGAACCACTACCCTTCACGGGAAATGTTTTTACGATATAAATTTCTTGTATTATTATATTGATTAATATTTTTAGCGATTGACGGAAAATAGCGTTTTAATGTTGAAAAGTATATTAAGCAAGTTTTATTATTTATATATTATTTTTTAAAATAAGAAAAAGTACTATACATAATTGTATGCTGTGTCTGTGCAATGAACTTAAGCGTTTTACATTTGATTATAAAACCTAAAAAATATAACATCAAAGATAGTTTTTAAACATATTTAACAATAAATAACTTATCTTATTCAGTTATTGTATTTATTTACTAACGAAATAATTTGAAAGGCATACAAAGTTTATACATCTGTCTTGGAAACTCTGCATTTGAAAGATTAGAGTTTTTTGTGGATAAAAACTGAGCAGACATAAGTCTTCTTTATGGTTCATTCATTTTTTCCAAATACACATTTTATATATTTTTATACAGTCTATAGAAAATGACAGAGTTATATAGAAGTAGGAATGTAGATTCTAAGAGGTGCTACAAAGAAAACGTTAGTCATAATTTAACTTCTTTGTGTAAGAATCTTGAGAGTTTCAATTAATTTTCTCATAAATACATGTTTGCATGTAGGGTGCAATGATCTTTATGTTATTTTAATTTGTCGACTATAATACTATGTTTAATTATTATGCTGACCCTTTTGTATAGACTTAGCTTTGAATAATTTAACAAGGTTCCGCAGAAAATGGTACTACTCCCAAGACATAGACAGAATCAATTACACAGAAGATTATGAATAATAACACAAACTTTTACATTTATGTTAGTAATATGTAATTTGCCAATTAAATTTCAGATACATTTTGAAGTAATAATAATAATAATGTGGATAGTGGATCTTTTAAATAAAATTGCCTTAGTAAAATTATACTCAGGAGGCATCAATAAAATTTCAGACTCAATAAAAAATGTATAAAATTATTATAAATAAAACTTCTCATTATTCTGAGTTCTTTGTTCCGCTTAATTTCGAAAACTAGTACATACATACTAGACAATGTTTTTTATTGACTGTTGATAACACAGTTACTCAGAATTTGGGTAATGATAAAGGTTTATGGCGTAAATTTTGAATATGCCCTTATTATTCTCATTTATTAATATTTTGAAACAATTTGAATATTTGTAAAATTACTGTTTACAAAGTAATAAGTTTTTAATAATTGAAAAATAAAAAATAAAATAAAGGGCATAAATATTTCACACTAATTTACAGTATTTTTCTTTTAAGATTAAAATTAACATTTTTACTTCGAATTTGGGTCTACACAAAATAGCTTACTTTTATTTAACAAAGTATCTTTTTTCCATTGTTCTTATACCTTTAAATATATTTTAATTTTTCTTTTTATATAAATAATTTATTTAGAAGTTAAAACTCATAGAGTTTGATTTAATTATGGAATTCTACAAAAAAATCTTATTAGGTCTATATTAAAAAAAAAAAATTGTTTTATTAAATTTAACAATGTTAAATATATTGAAAAATAAAAAAAGCAGTTCTTACGATTTTATCAATTTATTAAGTTTTTCGTATTTATAGCTATTATATTAACTAAACCTGATTAGAAATACAATACTTTTGTACTTGTTGAATTCTTACAACATTTTCTATAAATATAACAAATAATAATGATATAAACAATAATAATAAAAAAAAAAATTATAGAGAAAAGTTCAGAATTCTTTTTTTTATATGACTATAAAACAAAACTTCAAAAGTCCATATCGGAAATTTGCAATACATTTTATAATATTATATTTTAGAGTATATAAATTGTTTTTAAAATATTGATGAGAGAGAAAATTCAGGAGCATCAAAAAACTCATTGGAAACAAAAAAATAAGTTTTCATAAACATTTTACTACCCAAATCTTGTCAAGCTGTGTTAATTAAGCAATTTATTTTCAAAACCTACAGCACTTCTTACCAAAAAATGTTACTTAAGACAAAAAACAAATTTTTAATTGACACATAAACATTACTTAAGACAGAATCATACATATTTTAACGATTATTGGTTTGATTATTTTTAATTTATATTTTATTTTCTATCAAAGATGCATTGAAAAGTTTGTTTACATTTACTTTTGAAAAAGTAGTTAAATTCAATGAATGATTCGCATTTTGTTATGTTTTTAATATATTACTACAGGTAATTATTGTATATGTGTGACTGACGTATATATTTAAATATACCTACTTTAATAAAGTAGTAGAATTACTTAAGTGATGTTGTTTAAATAATAATAACGTAATATTAATATAACAGTAAAACGCTTACAAGTGTAAAATAATTAAGAAAACTTTTTGTATATTTTTTATGGAAGTTACCTACAATACCCTGAAAAAGAAAAATTCTACAACGTAGACTTTAACAGTATTTTTGAACTATAAAGTACACATGTTATAAGAAAAAAAAAATCATCGAGTCGTCGATCGCATGTTTTTAATTATATTTAAACTGCAGAGTACATACCCATTTGATTTTCAGAGCTGGGAAATGAGAATCTGGGCAACGTGACTGGTGCAGATTTTCCTTTTGAATTTACGGCGTACATTCGAGCTGTGAACAAGACACCCGAAGCTACTTTTCCCAATGAGAAACGTGGCACCTTTTTGTTTGTCAAATTTCTGTACAAAACTTCATCGTCGTCGTCAATGTCTTCAGCATAAACTTCTAGTACAAAAGATTGACTTAATCCTCCGTCGTAACCAGGTTCACATTGGATGTCCACAGCCCCATCTGTATTATTACTGACTGTACAATTATGAACCGATTGTGGTTTACCTTTAACAATATTTTAAACACGTATTATTTTGTGAATAGTAAATATTACAATTTTCTACACAGAATTATAACTTAGTACAATCGTTTGAGAAATAATTTTGAAAACATTGCGTATAATATTAGTTATCATGGTCTTAAGACACTCTGATGCGAATTTTTAAACAAATATTTTATGAGTTTTTTCGATTTTATAGTAAAATGGTGAGAAAAATTGAAATAAAAAAAAAATTAAGTAATGCATTATTATGGAGTATGACAATGTTTTGAGACATATGAAAAAAATTCGATTTATATAAAACTATTTTGAGACGTTTAAAAATCTTAAAAAACAACTAAAAACACGTTGGAATTGTATGACCTTTGCAAATATCCAATTTAAAAAACGGTAGCACAGTGACGACGTGGCTTATTTGAGACATGTTAAATAGATGACATCTGTCAGCGATTAAAATCACTATTATAAGAATGCAAATCTGTAGATAGTGTTTAATTTTAAAAACTAGTAGATTATTCCAAAAGCAACATCAACTCCTATTTCCTTAATTATGTTATGATTAGTAGTTTTTTTATTTATAAGTATTGTATATGTATAAATATTAATTATAGAAATTAAATATAGTATGAAATCGGTATTTAATATTTTTATTTTTACGGAAAAACTATTAACATAATAATGTAGTTGTATATTTCATTACTTTTAACGTGTAAACAAATTTAAAAGGCTTGATGCAATACTTTTCAAAAAAAAAAATAAATAAATAATTGTACTTTTTACGGAAAAATTATAAAAAGTTATAAGTAGTATACAGAATGGTTTTTTAATATAAGTTATTTGTTTTCTTTAAAAATAATAATAATTATTATAAAAAGAAAATTATTATTGGTATTTTATAATTTTAAATATTTTTTAATTTATCCTTTATACTTTATGAAGTATTAACTTTATTTATTAAATGGTCACGTGCATATTTAACTAACTAATAAAATAAAAAATAATCTAATTAAGAAAATGAATATTCGATAATAATTTTTGAAATAAAACATTTTTAATTAATGAGTAGTTATTAACCTTTTTAAGTTTAGAGTGGAAAAAGACCACGGAAAAGTAATGATAAAAATAACATAACCCACACTTCACCTTCACTCAATATTTTAATATAGTTATATAGTCAAAACAATGGGTCAAAAGCTGTCATCGACCAGTCATTTTCCTAATTAAATTATTTTTTTATTATATAAGCTAGATATACAAATATATATATACATATATATATCCATTAAAAAAATAAAGTTGACAACTTTTTAAAGTATAATAGATGAATTAAAAAAGTAATTATTAACTGATATATTGAGAAATATGTGAAACTAAAAATTACCAAAAATAATTTACACAACATAATTATTATATGAAAAGAAATTGAGTGGCGAGCATTAAAAGAACCATTCTATATAAAAATACAAAATACTATAGTTTTAAGCAAGTAAATGGAATGTGTTAATTAAGATTGGAGTTTCAATTTTAATTTTTTTGGCTGATAATTTTGTAAGATTTTTTCTTAATGTAAAAGAAGGAATATTTACTAACATTTTCTTTGAAAAATACATTATCACACATACCTATTTACAATGAAATAAAAAATAATTAAGAAATACATTAATTTAAAAAGTATATTTACAAATAAAAAAAAAGCAAAATATTAAAGGTATAAAAAGATATTTGTCATAAGTATAATTTAACAGAAATGTGTGTAGAATAATGGCTAATTCAGAAATTCAGACGAAGGTTTTCAATATTTTGAAATTCTTTTTAATTGAATTTTTCATTAAAATAATTGCATATCTAAATTTTTTGATTTTCAGATGAAAAAAGGAAATTTGAATAAAATAAATCATGAAGATCCATAAACATATTGATAAACTATATTAGTTATAAAACGATTATCATGGACCAGTATCATAAAAAAAATAGGTTTCTTCATTGCCATTGTTCATTATGGGAAACATAAATTTTTGTTTAGTATTGAGTTGTTGTATATCTGTGTATAAATATCTATAGTGACATTATACTATTACTAAAGAAGTGTAGATTAAAAAACAATTAATGATGGAATGTTATGATAAGTGCTGAACAAATAACCGATAAAATATCGATTCAAGTTTGAATAGGTCAACATGTCATAAAAAAACAGGGATATTTGTATATAGAGCGTTCAGTAAGTAAGGAAACGGGTTTCTATTGTTTTCATTGTTTATAACAATTGACCCGTTTCCTTACTTACTGAACACTCTGTATAATGTAGAAATAGTGTCATTAAATTCTGTTCATTTTTTCTATGAGAAAGGTGTATTTACACATGTTCCAACAATCAGAATTATCAAGTGTTATCAATCATTTGTTATTTGCTCGGTAAATTATGCCCCTTGTAAGGGACATTAGGAATATAGGACGTAAATGGACTAGTGATTTTATCATTAACATAATGATAATGTTATGACGTAATTTTTAGCAATATTTTTCAAATTAGCTTGTTATACTAACCCGTTTATTTGCTTATATATTATCCTTAAGTATATTGTTGTGAACATAATAATAATAAAAATTAAATTTTTCATTTCTTGTTATTAGTATAAAATAAATTGTATGTATATTTTTTGCAGAAATAAAAGATGATTTAAAAAATTTAATATTAGTTTATTCAAAACTATTTATTAAATTTTCAGTGAACATTGAAGATACAAATAATCCATGAAATATTACTGAATATAATGTAGTAATATAAACTACCTTTTAGTTTTTGAATAATATGATTCTCTTTGGAAATATAACTCACATAAAAAATCTATTGACTTAAAAAGGTGAGTCAGAAATCCTACACTAAATAGTCCTTCCAAGAACATGCTAGAATCGTATTTTTGGGAATGTCAAAAAATGTTTTCCTCAATCAGCACAATACTACCAATTTTATTCGAAAATTCATAATGTAATTTTGAAATTTAGTGAGAAGGGTGAGGATAGAGGCCAATAGATTGCCCCTGACTATGTTTCAGAGCTCTATAACTTCAAAATGAAAGAAAAAAATCTTGATTTTGATATTGTAAAATTTTTATAATTTATATTTTGATCACCTTCATTGCCAATTATCATCAGAGAGGACATATTCGAAATAATTTTGTTAAAAATTGATCAAATTTTATAAAAACAATGTTTGGTTTTATTGAAGCTTCTTAAATCAATAAAAGCGAAAAACAAATTAATTCTAGAAGTGAAAGGGTATAAAAAAATAAAAATAAAATTGATTAATGCAAACACAATTATGTTTACCTGCTGCCACCATTTGAAAAAGACACGGTATAGATTGATGACCTACACCGTTTTCGGCCCAGCACGATAAAGTGCCATAGTCCAAATCGGCTACCGGCGTGTACTTCAAGACGCTTGAAGTACTATTCGACGTGTATCGTTCTGGATCAATTCCAATGATCTCTCCAGAATTATTAAACTTCCATTTAAATCTTTTTGCCGGTGGATCAGCATCGACTTCACACAGAACATCCAAACTTTCTCCACGTGAAGCTCCCAAGACGAGCACGTGATCAGTTCGGCATCCTGGGGCATCTAAAGCAGTAATGGATTTTAAGTCAAATAAAAATATTTTACAATAAAATAAAAGTAATCAATACTACTGCTTATATATGCTCTGTAAAAGAATATATAAATTCATTTGATTCGGCATTCGTTAAAAATGTAAACATAACGATATTTTTTTGATGGTATAAGTCGCATAAAAAATAATTTCTTTATAGTATGACAGAATGCTACATGAAACTTTTTAGTAAGAGTAATATTTTGCTCTATTGTAATAAGTATAATACATGGGTGCGCATAATGTATCTTTGTTTGACTAATTACGCACCACTGCGTTCATTTATTATTTACACCAGTAATACTTCTTAATATTATGTATTAACTATATGTTTGGGAATTTGTAATTTGTAAGCCACTTGCGATATTATCCATGGTATGCTATGTATTACATAAATACTGGAATCCTAAATAAATCCCTTCATTGCACGTATCTTCACAAATAGGTTACAACAAAGATGTCGGATCTTAATTGATGGATGGGCTATTCGCATCGAGTTTAAATCCCGCGGTCAAAATGACGATACATTACTTGACATTGCTAGTGTCGTGTATGGGAATCACGTGTGTTAATGGGTTATTGGAAAATCTCTGCACATATTAATGTGCCTTTGCAAAGGAACTACGGATATTGCCCTCTTCCTATGTCGGTATATCACTTCAGATATAAATGATTTCTGGAATTCCACAGAGTGAAATTTACTCAAAATTATCATATCAATATACTAAGAATTAATGATAATTCTAAACGAATGACAGCATACTATTCACTAGTGTCTATGCATTAGCCGATTTTATTATTAAACAAATAATGTGTTACAAATTAATAACTTATTGCATAATATGTAATAAATATCAGTTATGTTTAACGCCTTATTTTAAAAGTTACGCTTGCGTTTGAGAGGACGGGAAAACCTCTACTTAGAGTCCAGCGCAAACTTAAAGTTAATTTGTGATTATCAATATTAATTTTTTTTTTTAATAATTGTTGAAAAAATGAATTGTTAATTTTAAGAGGGTGATTTGGAGAATTTTAGGCTTCGTCCTAATTTTTTAGATACTCTTAAGAATTAATTACCGCGCCAGTAGTTTTAAGTTCTTTTTCAAAATATGATAATAACTTTCAAAAGTAGTTAGCAATTTTTTGGAATCTTTATAACTTTAAATTTTTAAGTTAGCCTACCAAAAAAATAAAATGAAATGAGGGGACGTCATTTCATTTTATTATTTGTTCATAATTTTTAGATACAAGGATGTACATTTCTTTTGTCAAAAAATTAATTTATTGGTATTTCGTTTTGGATGAACTATTATTATAAAATACAATTGTGATACGGAAGTTATGGGAAACCTGTCGAGGAAATAAACTGAAAAATGATGAGCTTCACTTTACTAATAGAAGTATTTATTGTTAAAATATCAAAATTGAAATAGCTAGTTAAATCGTAAGCATAAATAAGGTATAATGTTTTCCTGCTAGTTTAGTAAATGGAAGTATCACGAGGTGCTTTTCCTGGTATGTAGAGCCCAGCTGTAGTTTGAATTATAAAATATTCACATGGTGAAATGCTTAAATTATTTAATTGAACTCGGTCGTAAAAAACATGCGTACGTATATCTACTCAATGTGTCAATCAAAAATTAAATTGTGGATAAAAGAGTGTTGAAATGGTTACTTAGAAAATGTTGAATATCTTATGAGATATTTATTTAATAATCCTATTTGAATTTCTAAAAACATATTCGGTTAACAATTTTAATAATTCAATAAACGTTTTGTAAAAGCCCAGCACAGTGGGGACGTGGCATAATTGGGTCCAGTATAGATTTAATCAGACGGTGATTAAAATCACTTTGTGAAGTTGTTTGTTTTTAGCTTGTATTATATTATATGGCTTTTACATTTTTCAAAAAGTTAATGGTATAAAATCGACAATTTTAACAAAAAAATAGCATGTTTTTTATCAACGGCGACTATTTGAAGATAGAAGATTTGATATTCGAACAATTTTTTTTTTATCATATAGTATATGACATAAGCTTTAATTAACTCATGTTTAAATGATCATAATTGTTGGGTGTATTTCCCCATTTTCGGGGAACGAGGGAAATTTTTTTTAATTTTTGAGAAGAATGTCTTGTACTAGATACAATTTATGTTTTTTTGATTCAAAATATTTAAAAATAAACGATTTGAAATTATTAATTATTAATATGATATAGCGCTATAATTCTTATAATACCTAACATAAAAAAAACCCAGCACAGGGGGGTCACGGGACAGTGGTGACGTGGCATAGTTGGATCAAGTATAATGATATCTGACAGTGATTAAAATCACTATAAAAAAAAACGCTTCGATGCAAATCTTTAGATAGTGTTTAATTTTAAAAAATTGATGGATTATTCCAAAAGCTACATGATCTGCTAGTTCATTATTAATATCCTAATTAAGATAAAGTATGTCGAATGAAAAAGGGATTATTAAAAAATATTATTTCTCATAAAAAAATAATGTTGATCCATACACTTTTCAATATGTCATAGCATTATAAAGTTAAAAATGTAAAAAATAAAATCGAGAATTTTCACACAATAATAGCATTCGGTAGCCATTTTCACCGTGAAGATAAAATAAAGTCCGAAATTTTTTTTTCGCATAATAAAGTAGATTACATTAACTTTAATTTAAGATATAAATAAAAGTGCCAGACTTTCCGGAACACTTTCAAAATTTAAGTTGAAAAAGTAAATTTTTTGTGAAAAAGTTGTCATTTTAAATCCCCCCC